CAATACATTTCAAAGAAACTTACCTAATATCCTTAATCCTTGTTCAACCAAAAGAAAATGCGGTACGTGCACTTACAAAGACAACTCCTTTGATATTGTCGTCGGTAATTGGAAACTGCAAGTCCCCATCTCTTTGCATCCTAAGCAAAACATCGACAATATCCTCCCCACCAAATTCCCCACTCCTCCCTTTCCTCCTATGCTCCTTTAACATCCCGTCAAGAATCCGGTCCACCTTACGCCTCATCCTCACAAGCTTAACCCTGTTCAAGCTCAACAAATGTAGCAACTTGAACGAAGGGAACAGATCCGCCAGCTCGAACCCGGCTGCCATGGTCACCGCTTCCTTCATCATCTCCACCATTGCTGCCCGGTCCTTCACCCCGACTTCCCCAAACACCGCCCTGCACACAGACATGCTCACAAAGTCAAAGATCTTCTTCGTCAAGTCCACGGCAGCGAAAAATCCTTCTTTTTCCGGGAGAAGGGACTTCACGAGACGGTGTCCCTCGTCCAGCCGGATCTGCTCAAAGGACCTGACGCTCTTGACGCTGAGGAGCTCGACGATGCTGATCTTGCGCATCTGGCGCCAGTAGTCTCCGTAGGGGCAGAAGAAGATGTCATTGGCGAAGAAGATGTCGCTGCCCGTGGTGGAGGGCCGGTCGCCGAGGGCCAGGTCGCAGTCCCGAAGGGCCTCCCTTGTGGCGTCAGGGGATGAGATCACCACAGTCGGGACCTCGCCCATGAGCACGTGCACGACGGGACCGTACTTGAGGGATAGGCGGTGGAAGGCCCGGTGGGGAAGCCCGCGCCCGATTAGGTGGTGGATGTGGCCGATCACGGGCAGGCTCGGCGGGCCAGGAGGCAGATTCTTTTTTTGGGCGACGGGTTTTTTTGGTTTGGTAATTAGTGGTAGTACTAGTTTGATTAGGAAGAGGATGAAGGATGAGATGAGGAGCAGGTTTTTCAAACTGATGGGGACCAACTGGGATGCGATTTCCATGGCTCTAGCTAGCTTAGCTTACACAAATATTAATTACCAAGCGTTTCAGAACACATATATAATATAGCAACCACACTGTACAGATCTAACCTCAAATTCGCATGCCCTTATCGGTCCGGTCCAGTATATAAAATTATACTGTCCAATTGTATATGTGCTTGCTTTGACATTTTGCAATCAAGATAGCAAATAATTCATATATTGGAATTGAAGTATTATATCAGTAGATTAATTAAGTGATGCTATTTTCAATTCTAATAGGTGTTAAGTTATCAATTGCCCACACTACTCATGCACAATTTAAGAAATAACAATTGACATCTTCAAAACTCACAAGATTAAAGAAATGATGGCTATTGAATGCTACAATTTGATCACTTTGATTAACATTAATAATTGCTCGCATTGAATGACTGTTTCAAGAATAAATATTAGGCAGAGTTGACCTAGCTCATTTCTCAATGCGTATTTAGAAAATAATGGGTAATGGAATATAAAATGTTTTTTGTTTTTATTGGCTTTATTGGAGAAAGTTGATTTTGAAGAAATTGATTATCGGATGTTTGAGTGGTATTTGAATTTCTATTTAAATAATATTTAAAATTTAGTAATTAAAGTTGAGGTGATGTAATATATGAGATATTTTATTGCAAAAGATAGATAAGTAAAATCTTTGAGTCAATGAATAATGAATTAAAGTTATATAATATGTGAGTATGATTGATTGATATTATTTAATTATATTGATAATATTGAGAAAACTTGAATTTGATTAAAATTGAGTGTCATTTGGAGTGAAAAAGTTTTAAAAAGAAGTTCAGGTCAGAAAAACCAGATACTCATTTATCCAATCACGCACTAATTTTACAGAGTTCATCTAATTCATTTCCACGAATAGTTATCTATTCTAGACAGGGTAAGGGTCTACTCGGCCCGGATTACGGGTCTTGGAACCGGACCCATGATAAAATCGGGCTGGTTTCGGGTCTTGATTTTTTTTTTTTTGACCTGCCGGTTCATAGTCAAAAGACGAGTCGTAATTGTTTTTTATTTTTTATCTTGAGATGGCCAGATTAATTGGTCTTGGGGCAGGGGCCATGACCGAGTGCCATCGCATACTAGACAAAGTATCAAAATTGTCCCCAGAATATGGTAATCATTATTCCCACACTACTCTTCCAAAAGAATAAATGTATAACAAAAAAAAAACACTATTCATTGAGGGTCATCTGTCTTCAGTCTTCGCACATGAAGCTTACAGAGTTTTGGGATTTGTAAATGGGCTAACCAGACGTAGCCCAGCTCGAAACATGCTCGTTTAACTACTTCATATTACTTATCAACTAATGATTGATATCAGAACTGATCATTGAACCTCTTGACCGGCTTCTTTGATTTGTTGCCAAAGTTGTCAATGTTGGCGAGATATCCAAATTTGGACTGAATTTATGGGACTCGTACATCAATTTCCAGCCAAAACTATCGTT